TTTATATTTAATATGATGCTTGTTTCTCAGTTTTGCACTTTTTATCAGCGAAATAAAGGGCCAGGATCTGACCGCAACCAAGCTGTTAACGTGCGAGAATGAGATGCAGAAAACTTTGTGGTGCCCAATTCGCTTGGCAAGACCTTTTTGTTGAGCAACGAGCATCGACTCCATTTGGCTTTGAAATAGCCTCCTCCCCCCTCCACCCCCGGGCCTTTCCCCCTCTTTCGCCCCTTTTCTTTACACCATTCACCATGACGTGGGAATAGAAGCAAAAGGAAAAACGTAATAGAAATCGAGCAAACAAATTTATCGCTGCTCACGCTTGATCGTTTGCGCTGGTGGCGGTTGCACTGGAAATGCCAATGTTACACGTGTTAAATTATCTGATGAACTCTCCTCACCTCTCATCGTGCCAGGGAGTGCATCACGAAATGTTATCTGATGACAGTACATCGCGACAACGTGTCACGTGTCGTGTTGCCAGTGCCGGTAGTGCAACAAATATATCTGAGTTTTACGAGAGACTTTGTTTGTCCTTGTCGTTAAGCTACTTTTTGAGATTTTGTAAATTTACAAAACTCTTTTGCACAAAATTTTCTTTGATTTATTTTGTTGTAATTTACAATTTTGAGTGTACTTGCATCAACATGGAATTATCCGAAGAGTAAAAATGGTCTGTCGTAAATTGATAACGCCGTCTCTGTAAACTGTAAATGCTGTAAATAACAACAAAATAAATTATAAAAAAACGAGAAAAACTGCCGGTGAAGTGGTTGGCCAAGGGGAGCGAGGCGCTTGGCCACTCGACGAAGCTTTTCATTTCATTTTCGCCGTGTCATTCTCGGCGAGACTGTTTCCCACTCGTGGCTCGGGCCCGGCCCGCAGCCCCGGAGCCCTGGGCGGCGCCACCGCAGCGCTGCATATTTAGCGCGATGGGGTTGCTGTGTGTGTTCCACGTTGCTGGCGCCTGGCGCCCGGCGCCGCCGAGTCAAGCCAACGCCACCGCGGCGCTACAGAATATTACCCCAATTCCCTCTGCGAAAATTAAATCGCTCTTTGGCCGGGCTATGGTTCATTTTTATTTTATGATCATGATTTTCGAACAACGTTGGTTCCGAGCTGCTTTAATGTGAGCGCAATTCGCGCATGGCGCAAAGTACTTTGTGTTTGTAAAATTATCAGCAGTGAGAAATATCCACTTTAAAAAAAAGGCATCGTAAAACCAACTTCTTACTTCTTTTTCCCAACGTTATTCCGACAGAAAATGACTGCATATTACGAGTCTCCGCGTCCGGCTCTCGGGGAGGAATTTGATTTCGATTAACGTGCGCGGCATTGTAGTTGCAGAGTAATCATGCTGTGGCATGCGAAAGAGAGAGAGAGAGAGAGAGAGAGAGAGAGAGAGAGAGAGAGAGAGAGAGAGAGAGAGAGAGAGAGAGCGCTCCGCCTGCCTGACGGCCCCGACGGCCCTGTCGGCGGCGCGCCGGTCCCGGCACAGCCATCCCACCACCCACCACCCGCCACGCGTAGGAATGGACACAGCGCAACAAAACCCGGGTGTGCCGAGGCCGAGGTGTGGCGTAGCGTAGCGTGCCCTGGGCGCGGCGGGGTGAGGTGGCTGGGCGTCGAGGTTTGTTTTCGGAGTGGTGTCCTGTATATAATTGCTTTTTGCTCCGTCTGTCACAAAGGGTTCCAGCTGGGCACCGGAGCGTGCTGTGGGAGGTCCTGGGGGTGTCCTGGGGGCCAACGGGCGGCACCCCGAGAGGTAGTTGAGTATGCAATGGGAGAGGGTTCAAGTGATGAATATAGAAAGTAAAAAAAAAAGTCATGGAAAAAGATAAGAGGGCAAGAGGGAGGGAGGGAGGTAGAGAGAGGCAGAAGCAGAAAGTCGGTAGAAAATAGAAGTGAAAAGAATGAGAAAGCCGGACTGCTGAAGCCGACTCGAGGACACAACCAGACCAGGCAGTTTCACCAGCACCACGGTGCAACGGTAGCTTACGTATCATTATGCAGACTCTCCCGTAGTTTTCCTATGCTACCCCCCTCCCCCCTGGACCTCTCTCAACCCCTTCCACCTTCTCCTGAGGCGTAAAGCAGAGGATACGTGATTTCCACACCCTATACTTTTTTCCCTCAGCGCGCGCCCCCTTCCCCTTTACTTTTCGTGGCCCCGGGCTGTAGGGTGGTACAGAATCCAACGGCCAGCAGCGGGCCCTCCCGTCCCTCCAGTCCGAGCCAGAGCACGTCCGGGTCACGTCCGTGCGTGCTTGTGCGTGTGTGTGTGCGCGCGCGCGCGCCAGTGGTGCCAAGCCCTGCCTCGGTGCTGCTGGCCTGGACAACTCAACAGGTGTTTCTTTTGCCGCTGCTCCACCGCTCTCCTCCTCCGCTTTGACAAGTGGTGCGTGGACACGCGAGGAGGAGGAGGATCGAGGAGAGCAAGTTCTGTCGTTGTGTTTCCCGCGGGGGCCGCTACGCGCGGCACGCCCCAGCGACACGCTCCGGCGACACGCCCCGCCCGCCCCTGCGGGCGGACGCTCCGGCGACACGCTCCCCGCCGCACGCCCGCGCACGTCCCGTATAGTAGTGGGTCACGCCCGGGCCGGCGTTATGGGGTACGACAGAGGCTGGTGCGGCCCGGGCTGGGCTGCGGGTGCGGCCCGGAAGTGCTTAAGATTCACCACACTGCTACGGGGCAAGCATCCCTGAAGCTCGCTATCTGCAACTCTGCT